ATTGTTCAGCATGAACATTGCTATTTCATAATCATATTCCATAATCAAAATACCAAACCGCGACACTGGTATAAAAATATCAATACATAAGTGCCTACTGTATATATATTACCAAAGGTTATTTCAATATAGCACGAGAATAGTGTAATACGGGTAGGGGACTTACAAGTTTTCCATGGGTTGTGACCTTCTTCGACATGCAGGTTGACGAGAGGTATCTCTACTAAACATTCACAAAAAATGTAATTAAGTTAGAAATTAATTCTGTTATACTGACGTTTCGGGGTCTTTACGGATCTGTAAAGAGCATGAATTTTTTTTACCCATAGCCCCGCATTAGGGAAACCCGTTATCGCGGGTGCCATGGATACACACACATAGACTACCACAAATTACAACCAAACTCCCGAGAAAAATAATGTAGGCCAAGCAAATATTTGTGCCGGTCCGGGCATCAAACCCGGGACCTCTGTGTGGCACACCAACATGGTAACCGTTCGAGACAGAGGCAGTAATCGTTGGTTTGTTTAAAAAAAATTAAGATACGCGGTTTAAATCCGAACAAATAGTTATTTTGAAAATATTAAAATGGCGAAACACTTCTACATTGTGTAATGCAATGTTGTTACGGACAGGTCTTTAGCAAACTCGTACGGAAATAGTTTCAGCAGCTGAATTAGTAAACAGCCCTCGCATAACGTATTCACAAAAGCGTATCGAGTTGATTCCGCCGCTGTAAATTCAAAGTCCATCGGTCGGTCAATATCGGTCGGCGGGTCCGTCGCACTTGGTAAAAGTTAGTGCAGCCTTCACTTGTCTGTTCGTGGCCGTTTTGCCAGGTGCAGCTGTATTACCTGCGAGCTTTTAAAGTTTATCTTTTTCAATTGTCTTATTTAATTGCGGTTTTCTCATCTGCGTCCTCAACGACTGAGGCGTTTCACTGAATTATTCATTTGTATTGTTCTGTTATGTTGTATTGTACAATATCATCATCATCATAGTCCTCAACCATCCACTGCTGGGTACAGGACTCCTCTAAGGAGAAAGTTTGTTACGGACGTCAAATAAAAAGTATTTTGATCTTAAAATTTTACATGTAGACAGAATTTAAAAAAATACGGTTTTGTACTTTCACACACACAAAACAAATAAATAATGAAAGTATTTTACCGGCTTATAATAAATTTCTTACCGACAATATGCGGCACGGGGGTGATAGACGGCAGGTGTGAACAAATCGTGCCGCATGTTGTGGATCGGAACAGTCACGGTGTAATTAATAAACGCTCAATACTTGGACCTTTCTTATTTCTGATTTATATTAATGATCTGCCATTCTTTCATAAGGACCTTTGCGAAATAGTATTGTTTGCTGACGACACATCCTTGATTTTTAAAACAGACAGACATGACATTAACTATGGCCACATTAATGATACCCTCTCAAAGGTTTATTGGTTTAACGCTAATAACAATTTATTGCTTAATGCCAAGAAGACAAAATCAGTTAAATTTGAATTACCTAACGTAAAATCGACTAGTCCAAGCATAGAAATAAACGGAGAAAAGTTAGACCTTGTTAATAAAGCAGTCTTCTTGGGAGTGACCTTAGATAGTAAACTTCAATGGTTTCCACACATAAGTTCCCTGGCCAGCAGATTAAGCTCCGCTGCATACTCAGCCCGCAGAGTACGTGAGCTTACCGATGTTACTTCCATAGTATAATGTCCTACGGGATTCTCATGTGGGGTAAAGCGGTAGATATTCAAAATATATTTGTGTTGCAAAAACGAGTGATTCGTTCTGTGTACCGTCTAGACTCTCGGGTTTCTCTCAGAGAAATGTTTAAGGAGAGCGGTATCGTGACTTTGGCATCACAGTACATTTACTCAAGTATTTTATATGCCCGTAAAAATATACATAATTTGAATAAGAAAGAACATATCCGTAATATTAACCTTAGAGCTAAGTCCAAACTCATGGTACCACGATTTCGTTTAACCAAGGTAAACGACTCTTTTATGGGGAACTGTATACGTTTTTACAATAAGATTCCGGAGCATATATTAAAATTATCATTTCCTATCTATTTGAATTGAAAGTCATATTACAAAATTGAAGACTACCTGTTAGATAAAGATGTATGGAAAGACGACACGGCTCCAGAATCCACACAAATTTGATTCAAAATGTATTCCATAGCATTTAAGTTTATTTAAAAAAAGCAATTCCTAAAGTTTCTTACTCGTTCTTCTCAGGGAGGTCAGCGTAGTGAACGAGTAGTAGCTTAATGTAAAGAAATGTAAATTTGACGTTTTCAAGCGTAAATTTATTTTATCTGTGGAATAAACGATCTTTGATTTTGACTTTGACTTTGACGCGCTAAGTCAATTTGCATGGCTCTAGTGATCGAGAGAAGCGAATACGTCGGCCACTTAAATAACATATATTTATAAATATTGTTTTGCTGTTTTGTTTTACATTCTCAACTGAGTACTCCCGTAGTCCAACTTACCAACACCGGTTAATGTCCTATTAGAGCTTAGCGAAAATTTTTTTTTGTTTCGTTTTTTTTCTTTCAACTGTGACATTGGCAAAATCATCAGTTCTCATATTGATGGAGCCATAAAAATAAAAAGTGAAGTGAATACGTCGGCCGACAGGCGACTGTCACCGCTAAAGAAAATTTCTGACTAGAAATAAGTAGTGAATTAAGTTGAAATATTATATAGTAAATGAAATTACTTTTTCCAACCAATTCAACCAAGATATCGGGTTCTTTACATGCCCCAGATTATATAAGAATGGTAAATATAATTTACATTTCATGTAGCAAAGTTGTGCTCATAGTATTGCATTACTGAACATTAATACCGCGCTTGGAGGTTCCTAGAGATAAAATAACATGTTTCAGAGAAACTAATTATTCGGAACATAGAGAGCTAAAAAGTCGAAGCGCGTATTTACGATCTGTTTTTTACCTGATCTGCTGAAATCTGTGCTTTGTTCCGCAGCTGCGTGGGAAGCTCCGGGTGTATTGGCGCTAATTACACATTGCACACGTCCCGTCTAGCATTTATTGTTGAATACATAACGCCAAAAGTGTAACGCTGGTAAACAAATAACTTGAAATATTAGATTAATAGATGTGAGTGAATTAGAATGGTGTAGGTAAAATGAAGCTTAATAAAGACAACTGTTACCCGAAAGGCAATTCGGGCGTCTTGTACGACAGCACAGTTTCCTTAGAAGCATTATAGACGAAGTTATTTAGATCAAATAAGTGAAAAGTTCGTGTCGTGTCGTATCGGGAACTCAAAGTTAGGACGCTGAATAGAAACGGTTGACGGTTACTCCACCGACAAGACGCTGGCTCTTAAATTAAAAGAAACAAGAATAGGACTGAAAGTCGAGAAAAAGTTGTTGAAACTGAAGTACACTCTAAAAGTTAATAATGACTACGACAGGACTAGGCTTAAAAGAAAACTATCGAAAACTTAAAAAGAAAAACATCGAAAACTTCGCGTTTTTATTATTTACCTTCACGGAGAAATCCGACTATAAGTCAAGTGGACAGCCAATGCATGCGTAAGAGTTTTATTTTCTTATATCAAATTTATAATTATATAACTTTGGAGGCAGTAGAACTTTAACCAAAACCTTATGCCTCAGCAGCAGGAAGTAGGTAATTCATAAGGAGCCGCGATGCTTGCACAGGTTGCGTCAGAAAACTGAACTTATTTATTGTTCTTAGGACACTGCCCACAAGTATGCTAGAAATGTGTTCGACGAGCGTGTCCGGTACACTTGGTGTGAGGCGAGATTGCAGCGGGCCTTCAACGCGGACGGGGGGCGGCGGAGAGCCCCCACTACAATACGACTTTTGATAATACCGAATAAATAGCTCGTTGCCAGCTCAATCTCAAGCTCATGATGTGACGTAGAGCTGTCTCTGTCGCTCAATTCTTCATGAATTTCAAATTTAGTTGAACAGTTTTAAATTCAAATTAATGTAAACGGTACATTTTATTGAGTTATTAGCACAAGTTCTTTTGCGATTTCGGAGCATAGCCTCTTTATTCAATACATACAAGTATAATACTAGGCGAGCCCGTGAAAATAAATATGGATGTCCTAATGTATACGAACAAATAGATATTTCTTGCCCATTATATTTAATAAATTAGATTTCTTTTGATAGGCGGAGAATTGTTAAGTAGTAAAACTTAAATTGTATACCTCTTGAAAGTATGTAAATTTGTCTAAAGTCTACATTGGTTTTGATAAATGTACTCGTACTAGGTACATTCACTGTATACAGTGTTGTGATTGTGAGTTTAATTTCGCCAACTAACTGCTTTCGCAGTTTGTTGAGAAATTGTATATCAAATCTTTAACTCGCAAAGTCTGAGGGCCACTACCACTGCGCCCGTCACCCTGGGAGTTGAAAAGTTCCATGTGCCTGTAATTTCACCAGGATGCCCCCTTTCTCGTAAAAACCAAAACAATAATAATGGTCACATTACAGTTTGGCGGTAGAAATAGTTAAAGTAACAGTATAGTATTTTAAAATGGATTACATCATCTAACGTGGTGATGTTGGCGCACGTGCACTTTTTCGCTCATCTAATGAACGAGCATAATTAATGTCCATTTGTACTCCCGCGTTGCATGTGCTCGTCTCTGATGGTGTAAGATACAAGAAGTTAAAGGGCCGTCTTACTTTGAAAAAAAACTAATAATTTCACTTCCAGCTCAGTTGGTAAGAGCGGTAGCGCCGGTATGCCAATGGACGCTGGTTTGAGTCTATTCGGATCGAAGGATTTTTTGTGTTGTTTGGTGTTTGTTTTTTGATTAATAATAATAACAAGTTAGAGGAGTAGTTTCACAAAAAAATATATGAAGTAATAGTAGTAGTAAAATCATCATGATATTCAAAAAAATACTATAGCAAGTGATGCAATGTTTATTTTACTACGCTTACTTACATAAAGTGTACTTTGATTAACGAAATACAGTCTGTGAGTAAATCTTTGCGACTGCCGTTTGGTACAGCAAACCGTATAGAATATTGCAGCAGATAAGTTAAAATTCTACCTACCTATACCGTATTTTCTTATTGGTCTTTGTAGAGATTTTAACTTTCTGGAATTTTTAAAGCACAATTACCCCTGGTAAAATAATTTATTATCTCTGCCAAATGTGTACTCTATGACAATAAAGGCAACAGAAATGTAAATGTAAAGAGGCCAAGTTTGGTACAATGAACGAGTGGACCTCGGTGTTCGGTTCGGTTAATATTATACTTGGTGCCAAACCCAATTCCTTCAAACTGACATTTCAAAATTCATAACACAAAGTACCAATTATCATAATTTACAAAAAAATCATCAAGTCTTGTGCTACGTGATATTTTTCGTGGCTCATCATCTCAAAGACCGTTTAAATAATTGAGTTTAAAAGTGGTTAAAGAAATACGTCATGGCCAGTGCGTTGCGTTTTCTCTTGATACTTGAACTTGATTGATACGTCACCGTGCATCTGAATAACCGTGCGACAGTTGGCTATACAATCGAGACATAATTTCACGTAGTAACTTACGTGTGTGTCGTGCACCCGCTACATCTTGTATCTCAAGACGTCTGGAAGCGGTAACAAATCGAATTCGTAACGAATTTCGTCCGGCTAACGATATGGACACCCAAATGAATAGCCATTTCCATCGGAGCGGCGCAAGTGCGGGGCCAACGGCGCACCCGGCCGGCGGCGGCGGCGGCGCGCGGCGTCCACCGGCATCGGCCCGACCCGATATTAAAATTGATTTCACAGCGCTTTATTGCTCTCAACTTTCCATCTGATTGTTCGTTTTGTTTCCGAAAAATGGCCGCAGTGAAAATTGTTTGGTTTTCGAATTTCGCGCGATGGAAAAGTGCAATAGTCGTGTACCGTTTATGACGGAATATTAAAATTCATGGGCGTAATCCTCTTGGCCGTTGTTGGCAGTTATGTTGCGATGACAGGAAGCTTATTGATGGCGGATTTACAGGCGGCGCGGCGGGTGAGGCACTTCCCGTACGCGGATTACTCGCGCCTGGCGACGGGATGTTTCATTATGAATATTCATTGTTAATTAATATGAAAATTGTTAATTTTCAACGTTCAATGTCGTCTGGACGTTCGTACTTTGGCAGATAGCACCCTAATGGCGCTGCCGGTTTAGTAATGTTTGGGGAAAAATTAACACCCAACTTGGTCGGAGGTTGAGCCTCTCAAGATTAGTGGTATTTATTTAGCATACGAATTATAAACATAGTGGCCTGTATGGCAATTTATGGTCATTCGATGAACACAAAACGTCCGTATAAACCAAGTTTTGTAATAAGCAATAAACTTATGACAATAAACGCATTTAGCACAACTGACATCGGTCCAGCGATCGATAAATCCACACGAAACCTGTAGCTATATTCACTTGCAAACCCGCCTTATTGGGCCTACGTGAGAAAAGCCTCAATCGGCCTTCTGTGCGTCTGTAACGACCAACAGTTGGCCCATCGTTGGGGTTAAAGTGATTAGAAGTTACTACATTTAACCCACTCTTGGCGAACTAAGTGGAGGACACAGGGCCAACAATAAACTACTCTTGTCACACAGTAATCGACTCTGCGATACAGCGATTAACAAACCGTGCAATGTAAACAAATTCGAAATAATTCAAGTACAGACCGATGTACAGACGTTGAATCGTTATTTAAGATTACTTTTATTCGAATAGTAGATGAAGTCGTAAAGTCTTCGATAGTGTTTAAATGAACGAGTTGACAGGAGAACAGGAACGTCTCTGTTCTCAGTTACTTTATAAACACCGACGACGCCGCCGTTGCCACACGACTTATGTGACGGAAATGTCTGTCGCGTCGGAACATTTAAATACAACAGAACGATCCGGTTCAGTTTTTGTTCACAGAATTCAATATACGACATAGTTATTTTTTTGCATGAGAAGAAGAAAATTTGCATGAATGTCTGCTTTTTCTTTTAGTTATTTTCTATCAGTAGGTAATTTGTTTTATTATTGTCACTTTTTATGCCACGTGGTTTATATTCTGATTATTAAAACAATAAGCGATAATCTGATCGTTTTATTGTACTATTTGTAATTGAGATTTTGACACTTTCAACTCCAGTTGGATTTAATAAAACTGCGCTTAAGTAATAAATACCCGAAATTGGAAGACATTACAACTGAAATTTAAACTTTTCTACTGTAATCAAATGTGCATGTTAGGTATGTAATGCATTATGGACCGGGCACTGGTGCGGGACGTCACGTGTGCCGACACACTTACCCAGCCGGTCTGCAGCACACCAGCAAGAGGGCTGGCTCCGCAGCTGAGCTGGCGGAAAGACTAAAGAGTGACAAGTACCGGGATGTTTTTATAGATCAGGTTGACCCTTGGCCCGTGAAGTCACGGTGCCTTTTATCTGTACAAAATGTCATCCACAAAATGAATAAACTGCCGGCAACCCAAGGGCTGGCAGCTACCTCGCCCAACGCATTAGCATAGCCATACAAAGGGGGAAGGCTGCCAGCATCTTGGGCACCTTGCCGTGGAGACCTAATTTCATTTATATAATTTCATCCTAGTTTTACTTTCTAGTGTAAAACAGTAGTTTGTAGTGCAAAGCTTAAAAACTTTTGTTGTACCTTACATGCATAATCTACTACCTAGTATCTAGTAATCTACTATCTAGTATTTACTATCTTCTTTGATAAATTGGTTCAATAGTGAAAACTAGAAGTTAAACTGAACAGTAATTTCAGTCTCTTTGCAACGCAAATGAGTTAACGAACGCCGCATTCGCCCGCGCCCCGCCCGCGCCCCGCCTCCATCACCTTTGTCTCTGCGTTGCGGTAATTAACCATCACTTAGCTGCTTAGTGATGTTAAAGTGTTAGTATACAGTTGGACTGCACGATAGCTTTAAAGAAAATAGGTTGGTGGTGAAAATATATTTATTTATAACAAAATTTTACAAGAAACGATAATAATTTCTTATACCAGCTAAAGTAAAGATGACGATCCTCAATCGCAGGTACAGGGTTTCATTCGTGCTGCCATAAACTTGTTTTGTTGTAAAACAGATTTTTGAAAGTTTTGTAGTTTTTGTTAAGTAGGAAAAGTTACTCTGTAGTGCAGAGTCAAATATTATGCAGTCGCAGACACAAGAAAGGTAAAACTTGTAGCTAAATGCATTTCAGTATTAATTTATTAGCAAACATATAAAGTATATTAAATTTACAATACATGTTCCCGTTAGGGTGTAGGTAAAAACTTAAACAGGAAAGAAGCAAAGTAATACACAAAAATATAAATATGTAGATAAAAAATAACATATCAAACTATTAAATTATTTTAAATAATATATATCTTAATACAATAAATCAAAATCTTAATAACATAATAAATAAATATACTGATTATTATTACTAACTTTTTTCATATTAAGTAGGCAACAAACAAGTATACGGCCCGCCTGATGGAAAGCGGTCACCGTCGCCTATGAACGCCTACAACACCCTTGTCAGTGGCGTCACGTACGCGTTGCAAACCCTTTAGGAACTAATTCAGGGATTATATGTTCCTTTATCATTTAAAAATTATTTTATTGTGTTATATTTATCGTATACTTTTATAAGATGTTCACTACGACAAACGAATGAGACAAAAACGGTGCAAAAACATTGTTTTTTTATCCTTAATATTGAACGCTTTATAAATATTTGTTTTTGAGCGTAGCACAACTTACATTTTGACATTTCATTTTAAGCCGTAAGATAAAACGTTTATATGATTTCTCCAACGTTGTTATAATTATCCACCAAATTTGTGACAACTTTGAAGTTGAGAGAAGAATTCACGTTGTGGAAGACTTATCGGTGTCCACTGTGTAATAAAAGCCAAAGTTGTCATTTCGGGACAATATTATTCCTGTCTATTCAAGTCTTGAATTTCTTAATCTTTTGTTATCTTTCTAAGCTCACAGCTTTAGCGTCCAGTTACACGAGGAGAAACTTTTACCACGCCTTGATGTACGTCAATGGCGAAACTGAATTCTATTTACTAGGCAACAACATTTAAAATTCTCTGAATAATACAACCGTGCGGTCGCCGCGCGGGCCGCCCCGTGTTGACCAAATTCAAGCCAGACTCGCACGCGTGGCCGGACTCTCATTGATATTAAAACGTAAAATTCTAAATAAATAGAGCGCATTTTGCCATGACAGACGCACGCTGTCGCTGCGCGGCGGCTACGCGGACTCCGCTCGGCGACCGCGCGGGGTGGGGAATAAATGCGCCCTTATAGTCAATACTTACAACTATTGTCATATCCGTCAACGTTGGAACAACCATGGCAAGTGTAAGCGAGACTTAAAATAAAATGTCAAAGTGTAAGTCGTGCAACGTTCAAAAACAAATATTTACGCACTTAACACCTTTTAAGTAGGTTTTTTTAAATGTATTTTTTATTTTACGAATGAAACTAATATTGTTTGGTAGCGTATTTTAAGTTGAATATAAATATATAAATTTTCAACTGGTCGCTACCTCTAAATATACGAGTAGGTAATAAATAAAGGGACTACGTGAATGACCGTAATGTGTAACTTTGAGAAAAGAGGCTCTTCCATTGA